TCTGATCATCTTCTCCATCAGCATCACTTTTTCTCAAGTAATACCTTTGGTAAGTTCTAATTGTCTATATAATTATATCATTCTGTTTTGATACTTTCGGATTAGTTCTTATTACTCAAAAGTCTAGAACACCTATCACGCATGCATCTAATCTAGCGGATACTAAGCACCACTTATTAGTCCATTTAAGAATGTTTTTTTGCAACTATGCCAAAGCATCTGCAGTTCTTGCCCATCTGATTCCTAAGAAAATGTTAGAGATAATGGGGATGAAACAACAGAAACCATAGCCGCTGATAATTTTTCCTGACAAGATCTGCAACAACATTTTACAATGCAATTGCATAGAAATGAGCCAAGACGATTGCATAATGCAATTCAACACTACAAACCATAATTGTATGACAATAATTAGCAATACTAGTAACAAAGTGAGCCTAAAATGCAGTAAAACTGACCCAAAAAAAATAAAAATCTTGTCTGTTGTTTGTGGATTTATTAGGTAATGAAGGTCCCCTTATAGGTCATTGCAGATGGATCTTTTTCTCTCATAATAACATGAAAAGAACAGGACTTTGTCAGTAGAGAACTTGACAGATATAGTCTCAATGCTTGCTAAATTATCTTGAAGAAAAACATCAGAAGACAAATCCACATTTGTCTTTAAGATTTATAGGCTGTATTCATATCAGTAATGACCAAATAAATTACAAATTTCCCCAACCGCACAAAATGCTACTCGGTTCCGTGAAACGGTGTGGTTTCTAAACAAAAATACAAGCATAATGTACAATCACTCATATGCAATTGGACTGCCATCTCATATAGGAATACGTTCAAATTCAAAATGAAAATGTAAATTAAAGGTCATTCCACTTGTAGACGAGTTTGGGACGAAATTCTAGAGCTGTCACGTTTAACTTAAGACAAGCTATTATCTAAATGATTGTGCACACGCACATGTGCTTGTGTTAGAGAGAAAGCTTTCATAGCACAGTGAAAAGAGTAATCACAACAAATCCTCGTCCCCTGTCCACTTCAAAGTTTTGAGTGTATTCACCATCTCTTCAATCCTAGAATGTGAGAAATCACCTATAGTAAACTTTTCAAGATAACCATCCACATCAATCAGGCTCCAACCTGGCTCCTTCTTCAACCCACTGCCCTTCAACATTGTCCTTGCCTCTGCTACATCAGTCCACATTCCATCTGAAGCATACAAGTTTGAGAGCAAAATATAAGGTGAAGTAGTAATTGGCTGAAGACCTAGAAGCAGTGAAGCCACTCGTTTTCCAGTAACAACATCCCCATGCAGTCGACACGCTGAAAGTAAGCAACCTAAAACAACAGGATCATGCCCAAATTGATACTTCTGTACATACTCTTCAGCTTCACTTAATCTTCCAGCTCTCCCTAATAGATCAATGAGGCATGAAAAATGTTCAATATCAGGGGGGATTGCATAGATCGTATCCATGCAATTAAAGAAGCCTCTGCCCACATCCACGAGCCCAGCATGATTGCAAGCAGACAGAAGTCCGACAAATGTAACAGAATCTGGGGTCATGCCAGCATCCTTCATGCACTCAAACGTATCTAGTGCTCTTTCTCCAAGTCCATGGCTTGCCAAACCAGCAATAATGCTATTCCATGTCACAAGATTACGACTAGCCATCTGATTAAAGACATTATATGCATATTCAATACAACCGCATTTGGCATACATGTTTAGGAGAGCATTACCAATACCAGTATCCTCATCTGGCCTTTTTCTGATCAGATGCGCATGAATCTGCTTACCAAGCCGCATGGAAGCTAAGCCAGCAGATGCAGCAAGGGCAGTTGCATAGCTGAATTCATCAGGTAGAGCAACTCGTGTTTGCATTTCTTGAAAAACACTCAAAGCCTTCACGTGTTCTTCACAGTGAGAAAAAGCAGTAATCATCGTGTTCCACGAAATGATATCTTTTTCTTCAAGTAATCTAAATACCTTTTCAGATGCTTCTATTAAATTAAACTTCGCATACATTGTAATTAAGATATTGCCAGTTGTAGCCATAGAATCAAGCTTGTTCTTTATTATTTGGCAATGCAGTTGCATTCCTCTCCACATATCCCGTGGACTAGAGCAAACACCCAGGACTCCCATGAAAGTAAAGCGGTCAGGAATCAGACCTTTCTGACACATAATCTTATACATTTCAAAACCTTTTTCGGGCTGCTTATTTTCTACCAGCCCAGCAATGACAGCATTATAAGAAACAGAGCTCAGCCAAGATGCACCATCAGAAAATACCAACATGGCATCACTACATTCCCCACATTTCATGTACATCGAGATCAATGAGTTTGATACAAAAGAGATAGATGAACAGCCTAACCTCACTGCTTGAGCATGAATTTGTTGCCCAAGTCTAGCCTCCAGGAGGCTGGCACAAGAACTAAGAGCACTACTAAATATAAACTCATTGGGCCACAATTCTGTTCTCATTTTTTTGAAAAGATCAATTGCCATTAAATGCTTCCCAGCTTGGTCATAACCAGAGATCAAGGCGGACCAGGAAACGAGGTTTCTTTTAGGCATTTCGTCGAACAGTTGGTGGGCAAGAATGAGCTTACCACACTTAGAGTACATATTAATCGTATGGTTAGAGTTGATAATACATAGCATGCCTGCTTTAATAGCAACTGCATGGAGTGAAATCCCATTGTGGAATGCTTTGGTTTTAGAGCAGTGGTTCAAAAGTGAACCGAGGGTTTCTAGAACCATTCACTGCAGGTTGTCAACTCATTTTATCGCCAAGTGGTTACAGAAAATAACATTTGTCATGCTTATCATCCCTCTCCTAACTCCTTATCAAACTAATCGTCAATGTGGCTAAGGAACTTTGAGATTGATTTTCTTCGTCCTCCTTTTGGTTGTTATTTGCACGTGAACTGTGCTTCTGGATGAGAAAGAAAGACAGCCAGAAGTCTGAGTGGCGGTGTCGCGGCGGGGCGTTTTTTTTATTGAGTAAAAAACTTAGGGAGCCTTGAACTATTGTATTGTTACTTTTGACTCATAATCTAAATTTTATTTTTGATTGGCCCTTGAATAATTAAAATTACATTTTTTTAAGGATTTCTGGTGACTTTAGACATAACTTTGGCTGGATTTAAAGGTCATATTTGTCCGTTCCTAATTGAAGTTTCGGAACCAGCATAAAAAATTCTAAAAAGAGCTAACCTTTTAATTTCTCGAACACAGCATTAAATTTTTCTTTACAAATTTCTAAAAATCGAGTTTTATCCAAAAGATTTTGACTGTGATCCTTTTTAAATAGGGTTAATTACATTTACCTCCCCTGAGATTTGATCATATTACCAATCAATCCTTGTAATTTATCCAAATAACGGTCTCACCCTTTGAATGATCAAACATTTAACAAAAACCCCCTTAATGTCGAAAATGCCCTTATTGAGGCCATGTTGCATTAAAAAAAGAATATATTTTTATTTTATTAACCCTGAAGCAATCCAAAAAAATAAAAAAAAAAAATTTTTGCTTATTATTTTATAAAAATCATATATTTGCTTCCATAACTAGTTTTGAATCAATAATTATTTTAAATCTTAAAAATGAATATTAAAAATTAGATAAATTGAAAGAAAAATAAAAAAGAAGAAATTATTTTAATTCCTGAAATATTGTTCAAATTGAGGAAAACATGCATTGTGCTCTCCGCAACATGCCTTGAATCACAAATTCGAACCATATTTGAGGATTTAAAATAATTGCTTCTTCTTATTTTTCTTTCAATTTATCTAATTTTTAATATTAATTTTTAAGATTTTAAAATAATTATTGATTCAAAACTATTTATAGAAGCAAAGATATGATTTTTATAAAATAATAAGCAAAAACTTTTTGATGATTTTTTTGGATTACTTGAAGGTTAATAAATAAAAATATATTCTTTTTTTAATACAATATGGCCTCAAAAAGAGCATTTTCGGCATTAAGGGGGTTTTTATTAAATGTTTGATCATTCAAAGGGTGAGACCGTTATTTGAACAAATTATAGGGATTGATTGGTAATATAATCAAACCTCGGGGGAGGTAAATGTAATTAACCCTTTTAAATAACCGGAAAAAACACCATATGCGAGGCATGGTGCAAAGCTGAAGCTTTTAAATGACTGGAAAAAAGGCCACATGCGAGGCATGGTACAAAACTTTTGGCCATTTTTTTAAAGACAAGTTTTTCAAATATAATATTACAGTAATACGCAATAATTCAAAAAATATCTCGTCCATACAATATATTAAATATTTCAAAAAAATTTTATAGTAAAAATTTTTTATATGTACTATTACAGTAAATTTTTTATACCCCAAAAAATAGTTAAACCAAACGGAACCTTGATTTTCAGGGAATTTATAAAGACAAATCTAATGGTGTGCTTAAATAAATGAATGGTTATCTTTTTTTAGGGTTTTCGATGCTAGTCTCGATGCTTCGGTTATGAATGGTAAAAAATACCCTTGAAGTCCGGCCAAATTTATACCTAAAGTTAATGAAAGTCTTTAAAGTGTACAGATTCAATTGTTTAAGAGCCAGTCAAAAATAAAATTTAAATGATGGCTTGAAAGTAAATAACGGTAATAGTTTAAGGGCTCCTAAGCTCTTTACCCTTTTTATTTTTTGTATTATTTTGGTTTGCAGTTATTGCTGACACAAAGAAGCATTAGGTTTGGTATTGTGGTCGTTGAGCTCAGAGATGCGTTGGTGTTACCGTTTCGGCAGATCTTTCCAATTTACATTGGACCTTTATTGTATTTTGGAGTTTGTCTTTTTATTTTTTTTAGGGGTATATTGGTAATGTGGGACTTGTCACCTCTGGTTTCATTAACCGGAAATCAGCTTTTCATTCGGAAAGATGGACAGCCCACCTCCGTAAGTGAGCTTCCGCTTCCGTACATTCTTGCCTGGGTTTCCCCATTCTTTGCTGGGTTTTAAGTGATTGTCATGATGGAAGGGGTTACTTTTGGGTGTTCATTTGTTTTTAGCTGGCATGTCATGTTGGTGGATATTTTGCTTTTGGTTCTTCTTGTTCGTCTTCTTCGACGTTTGAGGTGAGCTCTTTTCCATTTTTATTAAACTATTTTTCCTTTCCTAGCTTTATATTTGTTTTGATTGTAGTTTTGGCTCTTAAACGAGCTTATGCATGTCTTGCTAAATGTAAATTACTATTTTCATGTACTACGGCTAATTTGTTTCCTGCATTAGTTTATTTTTGCTTATATTGCTGTCTCGACTTTCAAATGCATTCATGGAAAGCTTGCTGAATATACGTTAGTGTAATTCAATTGTTGTTTTTGTTTAGATTTTTTGGTCCATTTGCTATGTTTTTATTGTTCTGTTTGGCCTTCTTCTTCGATTTCACAACTCGAATGTGTTCTCTCTATTGTTCGTGGCAGAAAAATAAACAATTCACTGACCAAATTGGTTTGTTAGATTTTTGGCTCATTTTAGCATTATTTATTTTTTGTTGCAGTTTACTCTTTAAAATTACCTGATTCAGTGCTTGCCGCAGTTGTTGCTGAATTACTTAATTTTTTAGCTCCGTTTTTGTATTTTCAGTACCTTTTTTGTGTTATTGGTGGGTTGTCCTCTCTATGTTATTATCATTTTTTGCTTTACTGTGTGTTACTCTTTATTATTCTGTATAACTTTTCTTGTTTGTTTGCTACTAGTTAGTACACTGTTCACTCTTTTAGCCTTGCTTTGAGTAAATTTTACACTTCCTCGACTTCATTTTTATTATGCTGCTTGTTTTTGGCTCCTTCATCTCATTTGTGGTTTTTCTTTGGTGCGGTTTTTGCTTCAGGTATTTAATCTAGCACATTCCCTTTTTCTTTAAAAATGCAGTTCATTCCTATTTTGCCTGTTACAGCATGGTGGTTGAGCTTTTTCCTCTTGATGTTGAACTCCATTTAGTTTACTTACTTTAGTATCTCTATAATCTTAGCTCAAACCATGCTTGTTTACTGGGCATGTAAGCAGTCTATACTCACACTGCACGTCGCTCGGCGAACTCCTCCTAGTCATTAACATATAGGCAAAAGAGCCTTCAGCTTCTTGAAGTTTCATCGTCCCTAGGACATTGGCGTGCACGTGCTTCTCTTTTTTATTTATTAACATATAGTAAAAAAAAGGCTTCGGCCTCTTCAACTTTCATCATCCATTGGATGCTCTCTTGCAAGTGCTTCCTTTATTGTGATTGTCCATACACGCTTCTTCAGTAAATTTGCTAGTTTGCTAGCCTACTTTTTTTTTTTTAACATTTTGGTAAAGCAAACAGCGTCATATTCCTCTTTCTTTCTCGTTTTCAGACGTAGTAGCATCATGGAACTCTGGAAGACCAGTTCTATTGCTTTTGTCCTCTAGACAAAACTCCACCTTCATGAGACCCGAAGATCTCTCCTCAATTTTTGGCGTTTGATTGTACCTGCAAGGGGTTGCAATCGCAATTGGAGGGTCCAGAGTTTTTTCTTTGGAGAAGTTGTTGTTTAGAATTTGATGGATGATAGGTTCAAGACAGAAAAGGAGCTGGTAATCTTCTTCCCCTTCCACTCTCAGTTTCTTCCATTTCTCCCTCCTATTCTTCTTCATCTCCCTCTCTCCCTCCCTCCCTCCCTCCCTCCCTCGAGTAATTAGGGCTAATTTTTTCTGTTTTTCTCTCATTTTTCCTGATATTTCCTTTTTTCCCTCATTTGTGTCCTTTTCTGAAAGGACAACAAAAGCAAAGGTCAATATTTCATCTTCACTATCTAATGTGAATTTCTGGAATGCATATATGGTATTTTTCTTCCCTTTTTTCCCATCATTAATGTCTCTGTTTCATTTCCATTATATCAGTGATTTTTTAAAAAATTTTTTGGATCTCTCGATCTCTCTAACTAGAAGACAAACTTTTAATATGGTTTGATATGATGAATAATTGATGATTAGTTAGCTTTTAGATATTTATTTACTTTTTCTTTGGCTTTTTCGTTCTTGCCTTTCTTGGATTTCTTCTGCAACAGGAAGGAAAAATGGCTATCTATGAAAGACAACTGGTGAAGGAAAATGTAAGTTTTGTTTTATCATTCTGAGGGCTTTTTTTTTTTTTTTTTTTTTTCAAATTGCTATCTTCAGACCTCAAATGATGGGATGCTTTTCTTGTTAGTCATTTTCTTTTGGCCTTTGCTCTTTTCAAACCTCATTTGAGTTTTCCTTTTAATCATTTTTTGGGTGTCTTTCATGCAAGTATTCTATTGATCTCTTGCTGAGAAAAAGCAATCAATATGGTAACTAGAGAGATTCGTTTGTTTAAAACAGATTTCTTCATCTTTGTAAATAAATTTTGTTTAAAAGCGATCCATAATTTTGTTATTTCATTTGAAGATCGAGGGGATTATGTTCCGTACCAGCCAGTGTTTTCTTCATCTTTTTAGAAAGGTACTCCCGTCCATCTCTCTCATGCTCTGTCCATTTTCATTCCTTAATTGATGATTGTCCCAGTCAGCTGAACGAGTTTTCGGGATTTTTTGAAATTATTCTTTTTTGATATTTTTTGGTGTTATATGTAGCTACCGTATGATTATAGGAAATGTCTTGTGGTGTATTGGAAAGGATTGACAATAATATCATTTTTTTTCTAAATTAAAAAAAAGAATTAAACTTCTCTCTGTTGAAAACGTGTTACTCATATGTAGTCTATGGGGTATGAAATCTGTTTAGGATTTCTGTCTTTATTAATTGATGGTGTTCATGTTGCCGTTGAATGAGGTCGTATCTGTCAAAAAATTTAGCAACTTTATATTTCCTATATAATTCAATCATCAACGTTTTTCATTTGTTACCAAGATTATGATAGGCGTAGCTGAACAAGTCTACTCAGTATTCCTATTAAGTTTCTTCTTCTTCTAGGTGAAACAGATTTTAATATTTCAAAAAGATAAAGCTCTCCATTCTTGTGATTTAATAATAATTAACTTTGCCTTCTGGACTGCTTACAGATTTATGTCACTAGATTCATTCCCTATATTGGAAGGCAATAAATTTTTTGCTTCTTTCATGGATGTATGCTTACTATTGTTTTAAGTGGTGGTATTTTAATCTCTATTTGTTATGTCCTGTCTACTGTAATTCAAATGAAAGATCACATTCTTAATTTTATGTTTCTCAGATACAATTGGAATCTTTCAGGTTTTGAGTCTGGACTAGAGGTTGGACTTTTTTGTATCAAACTGGGCTTTTTTTTGTTGGTTTTGATAAATTTTTTTTATTTTATTTTTCCCCATACTTTTTTTTGCACCTGGAGCTGGATGCTCTGATGCTTTTGCTCTGCAAGTTGGAGCAAGTTGGTTTTTGCTCCCTGCTGTTTACTTTTAGAAACACGCAGCTATCATTCATTCTCTTGTCCTCTATACAAAGTGTTTATTATACTTACGTCTGGTTAAATTTAGCCTTCTAGGAGAAGTCATTGCTTGATCATGTTGTATTTAGTAGTAAGCCATTAGGCTATAGTGCTTTTGAGGTTAGAAATACTCTAATCTATTGGTGTTTGACCTATGCTCTTTTTTTCTGTAGCCCATCTGCCAAGGACTGCAAACTTTGTCTGAGGTATGTTTGTGCTATCTTTTACATCTCATATTCCATATAAAAGTTATTAATTTTTGGCTTCCAGGTTTTTTATCCCTATATCGTGTCCTTCATTTCCCTTTTGCTGTTCTTTTTTCTGTTTTAATGCCTTTGCTCAGATTCTCCTACTCTTTTTTGTAAATTTTTCACTTAATTTGTGTGCTTTCTACGCCTACTTCAAATTTTATTGCCTACACTTTCCCAATGTTTTAGTTATAGTTACTAGACATTGATTACGAATGCTACAAATAAATTAGATGGTGATTGGTTTCTGGTAATTGCCTATTGACCTTTTAATTTGGACCTTGCAAAATGAGACTAACATCTGCTACTTCGGCTGAAACATGTATTCGAAAGAGAAAATGAAAAACCTATATTACTAAAAACATATTTAGGCCACATGGAAATTGGAGTTTGCCAGTCGAAATATGTTTTTTTTTTTTGCTGTTTTATTTTGTTATCTTCCATTACTCTTTGTCTTCTTACAGTATGCTTTTATATTTTATCCTATGGTTTCAGTAAAGTGCAGCCTGGTTATAACGCAGCCATGTACAAAAAATTAATTCTTTGTCATGTTGTGTTTATTAGAATGCCATTTGGCTGTAGTTTTTTTAGAAAATAGAAGTGTTCTTTTTGGTTGGTGCTTTATACATGCTATTCTCCCCCTCAGTCGTCTTTTTTCTTTTTTCCATGGACTTTGAATCCTGTATAAGCTATGTTCCTAGTATTTACCTCCTAGCTTTGCAACATTAGTCCTTTACATGTTATGACCTCAAGCTCTTAGACTATGGGCAAGGTTTTTTTTTTTTTTTTACTTTAAAGTATTTTCCTTCCTAATATCTCTTTTGCTCTTTCATCACCAGCCTTAACTATCTAATAAGGCTGGAAAAAATAACATTGCAACATCTTTTATACCATAAGTAAATCATCTTTACTTACCGGTTGTATATTACGTAGTAGCTATTTACTTGGTGGTAAAAATGTATGGAGGGTATAGTTTTTTCCTTGGTTAGGATTATTCTCGTGTACTGATGTTTTATCTGTGCTGATTTTTCTCATAGTTCTCTATTTACCCGACAGTGCTAACTCTGTGCAAGGTATGTTAGTGCTTTCCTTTACCTTCCATCTGTATTCTGGTAGTGAATCATTTGCTTGTATTCTCTTTGTTATGGCTGAATTTTTGTGCCTTGTAATTCCCTTTTTCTGATTTGTTCATAATCTTTGCTCGAGCCCTGCTGCTTATTCTATAAATTTATTCTTTGTTAATTAGTGTTTGTTCTTCAACTTCTCAATATATAACTGCCTATGTTCTCTCTTTGTTTTGGTCATGCGTAGCAGTTACTGATGGTTAACATTAGAGATAAACTGAATAATAACTAGTAATTGGCTATTAGCTATGAGTTTTGGCCTTTTCGTTGTTCCTTTATTTATTTTTTACTTAGATTCATCTCTAGCAGTTTTGCTGACTGCTTAGAGTTGCATGATTTGCCTGCTTCCCCGTAGCAAGTCAATATACGCTTCCCGTCATTTACTTTTAGGACAATTAAGTTACTATCCATTTTCTACTTCTTATCAAATTTTGCTGTATTTTGGTGTTTCAATTCAATATATTCATTTTTTGTTGCAACTTGGCTTTTTAAGAAAAGTCAATTTTTGTCATGGTGTGTTTAGTAAATAGCTATTTTGCTATAGTATTTGTTTAGATTTGAACTGTCCTTGTATATTGGTTTTTGACATGTGGTGTTTCTCCTTTGTCAACTTTCTCTTTGTTGCAGGGCTTGCAAATCCTATCCGAGGTGTGGTTGTCATCTCTTCTTCTCTTCACCTAATATAGCAATCACAAGTTTCTTTTTTTCATTGCTGCTTGGTATTCTTTTCTTGTGCCTTTTACTTTCTTTTAGCCAGTTTGTTTTCTTAGCCTTGGCCTCAATTTTCTGAATTTATTTGTATATTCTTACTGCCTGATAATTGGTGTATACTCTAAAGCCATTTATGTTTTGGCTATGTTTTGCTGACTAATGTTCCAGAAAATTTGGGTGGCTGTTGGTTATTGGCTATTGACCTCTAATTGTAGCCTGTTTTTAATTACTTTGATTTAAACTGCTTCCTGTGATGGTTGTGTGGCAGCTTTTTTTCTACACTTACATGCAATAATATGGCATCTCTAACTCTCATCCAGAACACATCACATATACACACTACTTGTGTTTATATAAGCACCTCAGAAGTCAGAAGAACACTTGGCTTCCCAAAGCTAAAAGCAAACAAAATGCTACTGTACGCGCGTGAATCTCAAATACAAACTTCTGGTACCATGTCACTTTGCTACACAAATTTTGCAGAGCAAATCGTACTCGACAAAATTATTCACGTGAAATGCACACAAGTGTTTGCTTTCGAACTTATGTGCCTGCGTAAGCTAATCAAGGACCAATTTCCACTGTTTCATTTATTTGGAAAAAAGATATGCATGAATAACATATAATTTAAGCTCCTGTCTTAATGCTTATTTTTAAATCACCTCAAAATTTTTGCCTCAATTTAGAATTTAATTTGATTGGGATTGTGGTTCTTGATACTTTTACCAATTGTTATGTTATAGAAGCAAAAAAATAAGAGATATAAAAAAAATGAAGTTATCTTTAGTTTTACATATTCTTAATAATTCTCTACCATTTATTCTGAATTTTCTTGTAAATAGTTTTCTTTCTTTTATGCTTTAAATCATATATACTTTACGCTTATAATAATTAGCCATACTAAACTAACTTCCATCATATATAACAAATAATATAAAACAAGTACCGATTACAATGGTAATATAAGAAATCAAATTTATATTAAAAAACATGCAAAGATTAATCCAAAACTTTTTGTCTTTTTTAGATTTAGATTCTTATTTTTCCACCCAACTAAATCCTCATTGTGACAACCCCACCTCCCCCTAAAGCGAATCAAATGGTTCGGCAGACCGCCTACCCAACTCTCGCCGGAACTCACTACAAATCTTAAATGAAAAACAGACTAATTCCAATGATTACATCTAAATATGCCCAAATAATAACATGTTTATAATATTTCATTGCACAAGTACAATCAAGGATACAAATCTCAAGTCAACTACATCGAGTTTCAAATCTTACAATTTCCCAAAGATCAGTTAAAAAATATCAACTATACAAAAGACTAGCCTTCACTAGTATTTTCTAATCACTTCCTTCACGTCACTCTCCTGTTAAGGAATAATAAATGGAATGGGATGAGCTAACTGTGAGAACCCGTAAATTCTTCTTAATAATTTTCCTAGGGTTTATCCCCTTTAATGGCATGTTTCTGCATTTTCTGGATTAGGAAAAAATTTTCGTGGTGAATTTTATGAGTAATTATGTTTTTAGATGATTTTTCTAGTATTGAAGAGTTTTTGAAAAATTAAGGATATATATCGGACGTGGGACCCACTAGTGCGAAAAGTTCGGAAAAATTCGGCCAATTAGGTTAAGTTTTGGATACTGGTTGAAATTTATCGGGTGTTAAGAGATAAGTATAGAATGTGATGTGATTGATGTGAGAGGAAAAAAGAAGGATAGGAATGCATTAATGAAGTGACACTTGTCATGTTGGGATTGGTTTCACTTGTTGACAACTATTCATTTTTTTTTGACTTTTCTTACCAATTGATTAAATATCTCAAAAATCACAAAAAAATTCACTCTTGTCTTCACCTTCTTGGCCGGCCACCTTGAGCTTAAGAAGGAAGAAAACTCTTCAAAATCTTGGCTACCATCTAGTTCAAATCCTCCAAAACAATTGCTTGATCTTGTTTCTACTCCATAAAATCTCTCCATTTGGTACTAGTAAGTGATTTGGTGAAGTGTTTAAGGAAGCTAAGGTGTCCAACAACTCTCCCTCTCTTGTTTACTAGGTGAGTGGTGATTGAACTTCCTCCTACACTTAATGAAGCTTAATTTGTGCCTAATGGGAGCTAAAGTGATGATATATGTGGTTTATTTCTTGGTTTTGGATGAATTGATGAAGTTTTCAATTTATTGGTGATTTTTTTGGTTTAATGTGATCATGATGTTGTGGCTATCTATGATGGTTGGAAATGATGGTTAATGACTCTAGTAGGTGTACATGATTGGTATTTGCAACCAATTTCTGGTTTGGAAGAAATTTCAGAAAACTAGGGTTCTTGAGGGGGCATTCTGTCCGAAATTTTAGGTCCTAGATAGAGGCCGAATTTGTGACAGCCCCACCTTCCCCTAAGGCGAACTAAAGGGGTTAGCGGACTGCCTGCCCAACTCTCGCCAGGACTAACGGATCAGTTTACGTCGATCTAATACGGTCCAGAACATACCCACGCGCGCAACCAAGTTAAAATCACAAAATAAATAAAAATGAAAAACGCGCCGATGATGAACAATGCCGGACACATCAGAATCCGGAGTTCAACCATACATCAATCCAACATATACATACATTGAAATTCAACATTTACAACCAAATTGGCATGCCAAAACTAGTCATCATGGTTATACAATGTTCGGTTTGCTAATCAAAAGATGAACCCAATACACATTAGGGTTTCATGCAAAGAGCTATTCAAAATAGACATATACATGGCTCAATTTGGCAACCAACAAGTATGATCTTCCAAAATGATCATTTTCCTGTAAGGAAAACAAATGGAACGGAGTGAGCTAAAGCTCAGTGAGCAACTATCACATAATTAACAAGATCACTTAAGCATAACCGTTCATTTCAAGTATACAAATAAGAAGCAAAACCAATCGGTAAAAGGATACGGACGGCTCTCAAGAGCCCATTTCCACGCTTACATTCTTGATCCAAACCCATTGACCCTCCGTCAATGTTAAAAGTACCAAACCGTAGACCTCACTTCACTTCTATTCCTTCCACCCTACATACCCCAACCGGGCCCGCACTCCAAGTAGTAACTTTAGGTGATACTCGAGTACACCGGAACCAAGGGTCTCATTACCACAAGATTCCCATTTCAGTCCCCGTGGCTAGTCAATTTTCACGACCCTGGATCGATTCAAGTGACTACCAACGGGGTCGAGCTCAGTAATACAGTAGGGCCGTTGGATACTCGTCCAACCGACACCCAAACAATATCCCATGAATGGAATCCAATAACTCATATAGCAAGTACAGTAATACAATGAAACGGTAAACAGTCATTCACAGGAATAAAAGGAATGAGAGCGGTCAAGTACACCCTCACCCTAATCATTTCCAATAGCCAAACAAGCCTTCAAGGCATCACAATCACATATAGCAAAGCCACATTATAAACATCCAAGTGAGTAGTATACTCACTTATCAATAGGTGAGGTTTCATGCACCGCCGTCCAAAGTACGTCGTGCACTAACGTCACGCCCTAGAACACGTAAACAAATACCATGAGACTCGATAACGAGTCATAAAGCCATGCCAATCACAACCCCAATAGGGTTTCATATGCATATATAAGCATGATAGCAAACCAGAAAATCAGGAAATGTAACTATATTAGCCCTAACAACAAAACAGTTTTGGCCTCCTTATGCGGTAATGACACAAAATGCGCTACGCTTATCGGATGAGGGTGTAAGACCCACCATCTCGAAGCTAAAAGACAGGGCTACAACAATGTAGAAGGCCACTCAGTCCAAATCCTAGTACAACTAGGTCAAAAATGCAGAATACCAAACCAGAACCGTAATTGCAGGTTTACAAATCACACTATGCTGTAATTAGTCCAACTCAGTCTATACAGGTCCAAATGCATTGATTCCAAAGGCATGCGGTAGCCAAGACATCCAGCTACATTTCATCAGAAGACACCAACATCCAAATCCAAAGCAATTCCAGTAAAAACAGACGATTAGAAGCGCAGTTCGCACATTCTGATCAACCCAGAACAGCAACAGTAAAATCGACATATCTCACTCTACACTACTCTAAATGACCTGAAATTTTACAGGCACCTCAAACACATCAATACCTACAACTTTCATGTTTTAAGCAAAGGCCAATTCGGCCTCTAACCATATGATACAAAACCGGACAGAAAAGGGGGTTATGAAACCCTAACATCCTCAAATTCCTTCCAAACCCAAAATTGGTTGCAATTATCAATAATTCACACCTACTAGAGTCATTATAGGCCATTGCCAATCATCATACAAGGCCACAACATCATGATCATATTAAACCAGAAAAATCACCAATAAATTGTAAACTTCACCATTTCATCCAAAAACAAGAATTAAATCACAAAATTCAACACTTTAGCTTCCACTAAGCACAACTCAAGCTTCATTAAGTGTAGGGGAAAGTTCATATACCACTCACCTAGTAAACAAGAGAGGGAGAGTTGTAGGACACCTTAGCTTTTCCAAAAAACTTCACCAAATCACTCATTAGCACCAAATGGAGGGATTTTATGGAGTAGAAACTAGATCAAGCAAGTGTTTTGGAGGATTTGGGCTAGATAATTGCCAAACTTTGAAGAGGTTTTTCTTCCTTCTTTGCTAGAGAGAGAATCGGCCAAGAGGTTGAAGACAAGAATGAATTTTGTGTGATTTTTGAGGCATTTAAGCAATTGGTCAAAAAGTCAAGAAAATGAATAGTAAGTCATAAGCTATTTCCAATACAATGGTGACACTTGTCACCTCCATTAATGCAATCCTATCTTTTCTTTTTCCTCTCACATCAATCACTTCACATCCTTTACTTATCCCTTAACACCCGATAAAATTCACACAGTATCCGGAATTTAACCTAATTGGCCGAATTTTTCCGAACTTTTCGCACTAGTGGGTCCCACGTCCATTATATACTCTTTATTTTTCAAAAACTCTCCAATACTAGAAAAATCATTTAAAAACTATAATTACTCACAAAATTTACCAGGAGAATTTTCCTAAGCCAGAAAATGCAGAAAACATGTCTTTAAAGGGGAAAAACCCTAGGAGAATTATTAGGGAATTTACGGGTTCTCACAGAATTGGCCTTAGCTTAAAACATGAAAGTTGTAGAGAATGACATTTTAGAGGTGCCTACAAAATTTCAGGTCAATCGGAGTAGTGTAGAATGAGATAAGTCGAAATTACTATT